GCCTGTACTGGCAAGTTTCATTTTCATTCCTCTTCCTAGAGGTATGAAAGCTCAGCTGCTTTAAATCCTTGGCTTTGTCAGATATCTTCCAGAATCTGATATTTATTCCTGTTGAATTAACACTGCATGTGGAATCTTTTTCCTCAGCTGTTTCCTACATGGAAGGCACAGGTCTGGAGGAACACTCACCCCCAGGAAGTGCTTGGATAGAAAGTCTGCTTAATAACAGAGTGCTGTCACAAATGCTCAAAAAGCAGACTATTTTTTCAGTGGTAAGAAATAGTTAAAACTTGAATTGCAGCAATGAAAATGAGAATGTCAACACCTCTTTGTCTCTTGGATGATTTCTAGACTAGCTGTTTATTTAATAAGAAACCCTGACATGGCCACCTGTTAAACTATGTCTCTGCAAGCCTCTTGCTAACCTTTGCATTTAATTTTTCTTAAACTGTTTATAGACATGGGAGGGATCTGTCCCAACCAGAGTCTTAAGGCTTCCTGGTAGTTTTAATAAAAAGGTCAAAATGAGAAAGGAGTGATTGTGTGCTGAAGAAGGAGTTAAAGCTTGCAGGCATGAAGCACGGACAGATGACATCAATGGAAAAACAGATCTCTACAAGAGTCTCTCATGAGGCTGGACTCCCACATCCCTGCTGCAGAGAGGAAAATGAAAAAAAATCACCCTCTCTTTCTGCTTTGACTTGTCCTTAGAGACAGCTTTTCCCCCCTTTCTAGACAGTTTGGTTACTCCAAGAGCATTCTGATACCTTCAATCTCTTAAAAGCAGTAAACTATTTTCATTTAAATGTCACCTAAATGTCATCTGGATCAGATTTAAATTTGCAGGACACAATGTCACTCCACACTGTATTAAGTCCACTGTTGATGGAAGCTACCCCCAGTGACACATCTGCTATGTAGATGGTCCTCCTGACCCCACTGAGCTGGGACATGTCTTCAGTCTTGAACATCCTACCATCTACTCATGGGATCTGCCAAAGAGCATAGAGACACTTTACCAGTTTCTTCCAAGTAATAAAGTAGTGTAACCTGGCCTTAGTGCAAAAATTGAAAGTCACACCCCAGATCTAATGAACCTGAAATAGCTATAGACAAAGTTTTAACAGCTTAAATATCAGTTTAACAAGTGTGGAGAAGTAAAATATTTCCTGCTCAAGCTTGTACTTCAGATAAAATTATATTTCCAGGACAGGTAAAAAAACAAACCACACATTTGGACATGGCATTAAAAGGAGAGGTTCTTTGGCCATATCCCAAATGTAAATAGGGTTTGGGCTCCTTGAAGAACCAACTCAGCAGCAAACACTGCAGGGCCTAAAGGAAGCCCTTCACATCCAGGATGAGCAGCTGAGCTCCTTCTGTGAAATACAGGGAATTATTAAGCCCAAAACTGGACAAAGAGTCACCATAGGTGGCTGAAGCAGAGGCTTAGAAAAATGAGCTTTTTAAGAAGATTCTGTCTCAAATCCTGCTCCCCTTTGGATACTTCCAGCCTAGCAGTTTTGCTGTAGCAGTGCAGACCCTTCCACACAACAGTAGTACAGTTGATGTGAGCCTTGCTTTGCTCAGTTACCTTCCATTCATCCTTCAGAAACAGTATGTGGCTCTTGGTTTATTTGTGACCAAGTAATGAAATAAAATAAATAAAATAAATAAATAATAATTGTAATTTAAAGAAAAAAAGAGCTGGCAGGCTAAAAGGCTCAAGGACATGACTGAAAACAGGCTGGGGAACCTACCTAATGTAGTTTGGTTTGAGAACGGCAGAGACAACTGTGAGAGCAAGGTATAATAGACAGAGATCAAAAGAGGATAAACAAGCACAGCAAGTACAGGTATCAGACTGTAATTTAAGATTAGTTTGGGGGACATAATGGACTACTGTTATTAGTTTCATGCAGGTGTTAGAGACACCTTCTGCATTCCAGAACAGACTCTGTACCAAGGGCTTTAAAAATCTTTAATCCTCCTCATAGTCATTTCATTTAGGTCACAAAAACCACTTTAAAGTCAGCAAGGAAAAAACACCCTGCTGTCTTCCAATGACTAAATGGGGCATACCCTAGTGCTGTCAGCAAGATTGAATGTAGCCTCTGTGTTTTCAGAGACCATAAATCCCTTTATTGGCACAGATTACCAACCTGATTGCTTGCATACAGATTAATGCAGCAGCATGAGTCCTCTGGGTGACTGCTGCGCATGGAAAGCAGGAGAGGGGAATTTATTTGCTCGGAAACTTGTGATATGTATCTATCAATCACCAAGGAAAAAACATTTCATGAACTTAATTCCAAAAATATCTCTGTATACAAAGAACAGAGCTGAGAAAACTACCCAGATTAAAAGACGGAAGGAAACAGCTCTGTAGCTGCATACATGAAAATGCAAAGTTGTGCCAGCCAGCCAGGGACCACATGCTGTGACACCACATCTGAGGTCTCCCCTTCAGCTGTGGGATTTCCTAACCTATCTCACTCCAACAGTAAGCAGTAAGAGGGAATAATGGCTGAAAGAGGAGAGCTAACACATGAAACAATCATTCATCTTCTTGAGAGCCTCAGCAAATTCTTTCCATTTCCATTTCTAATTCATTACTAAATACGGTGAATTGAGGAGTGTAACTTCTCTCTCTCTGCCTCCTTTGGGCTGAATTCTCTGTGGATATAACTTTTCTCTAGTCTCCCAGCCTCCTTTGGGCTGAATTCCCCTGGGATCCTCCCTCGTGGGGAGTCCCACTTATCTCAGTCCTTATTATTCAATGAAAACTCCCAGGCTCATTAGATTCTGGTTTCTCGTGTTTATTGAAGGATCTTTACAAAAACTTGGCAGGTCTATCCAGACTAGCTACACAAGCTTAAATCACCACAGCCTGGCTCATCTCGTACTAATGATACAAAATGGCCCCAAACCACGCGGTCTTTTCACCTTTATACCAATTTTTACCCTATTAACTACAGACACGTGTATTGGTATAATATCTCAACAAATAAGTTTTCTATATCTACTCACATAATTAAAAGTGTGACTAACTCTAAACAAATCATATTTTGTGCTTCTAAAAACTGCAGAAACATGGAGAAGAAGGAAGAAGAAGGATTAAAAACTACACCCTTTTTCCTCCATCTTTACTTCACGTGTGAAACCCTCTTAAAATCTGTATTTTCACCTCAGTGTCCAAAGAAACATTTTTCTACTTTCTATTTAATTTCTTACAAACTCTGGCTTGCTCAGGGATATTTGGAAGCCTTTCTGTCAATATTACGTATGATTGATGTATTTTTTAAAGAATTGTATAGACAGAGAAATGTCTGCATTTCTAGACTCCTACAAGGAGAGGTTGTGAAACCTTTCTCATGGCAGGGAAGATGAAGAAGTCCCTTCACTATTTGAATTAAGAATGATGATGTTAGTTTATCACCCCTATTTCTTGCTCCTTACCAGTCCCTGCCTTGCTGATGTGACCAGCCATACACGGTGTAAGTCCCTCAGCCCAGGGAAGGGTCCATCCTCCCCAGCTCCCTGCCCCCCAAACCCTAGAGATGCTGCTGCCTCTGCTGACAGACCACTTGGGCTCAGCTGTTTTACTGCTGAGGGGAGCCAGGTCCTAGCCTCTGACCTGAAACAAAGAGCCTGAAACAAAGAGCCTGAAACAAAGAGCCAACACCAAAAAGGTTCCAGCTACTTCCAGGGACCCCACAGAGAGCCAAGTCAGGAACTCAGGCTTTTTCTTTTTCTTCAAGAGTCTTCCAGGAACTAGGGACCTACTGCTCAATCAACCCACCCAATTTAAAGACCTGTCTGATTAGTGAAATATTGCTCTGATACTCAAAAGCAGGTATGCGCTTGGCTGGCACCCAAGTCAATTTAGGGTCCCAGACCTGACCTGCCTAATGTCAACGTGTTTTTGGCATCTGGATATACTAGCTTGGCACTCCTGGGAAACAGTCCACACATTTGAAAACTGGTCTCAGACATTGAAAATGTGACTTAAAGATATAGACACACAAACTGTATTAAACTAAGACAGCAGCATATTTCTTTCTAATTTTATTTTTTTTCTGAGCTTGGCCCTCTCTGAAATTTTTACCAATTAAATCATTTGAGCAAATATTTCAGGAGACAATAAACATTATAGACTCATTTAGCAAAAGGGAATTCTTCTAATGAATTGACTCTCATGCATTTAAACTGAGATCTGCTGCTAAATGTTTTATCTCCCTCCAAAGAGCAGACTATGAAGCAAATAATAATGATGATATATTTACCAAAGAACTATAGGGAAAAAAAAATTGAATTATCTTTTCCTAAACAAATGTCAGTGTTGGGAAAATAGTCTGGTTCCATTTCTGAAGTAAATACTACCACTTGTATCACCTGCATTTTACACAGTTCAGTGCAGATCACAGAAAAATAATGGTTTGGGTTGGAACAGAACTTTGAAGTTCCCAGTCCAATCCCCCTGCAATGATCAGGGACATCTTCAACTAGAACACCTCAGAGCCTTATCCAACCTGACCTTTACTGTTCCCAGTATAATAACTCACTGATGCAGCTTTCTAAACACAACAGAAGCAATAACGAAAAAAAAAAAAAAAAGAAACAAAAAAGCCCCAAAATCCCAGTCATCAGCACAAAAATATTCCAGCCATCATTTGATTGTTTTTTGTTAATTATACTTTGGGCTACAGACAATATTTATTTTCTGACTTTCCCCAGTTACTCTGTGTGGGCCATAAAATGGTAACTTTACTTGGGAGAAAAGAAAATATTATCTATGGAAAGTGTTGCAAAAAAAAAAAAAAATTCCAAAGTAATTTCAAAATATTTGTGTTCAGGCAACAGGCCACTGTTTTTAAGTAACTTGAAAGTGAAAAAATTTCAAGTCATAGCAGCACTATCTGGATACAATCCAGTAAAGTAGACTTCATTCAGGACTTGGATGCAAAATTGGGTGGAGAATATGAAAGGAAAAGTAAGTATTGAGTTGCAGTATTTGCAATTAGTTTACTTCTTAAGTTTTTAGAAGTTACATGCTGAGGATTGGTTGGCACAAGCTAATGCATATGCACCTGTCCCCCATGTTGATTTGCAACATCCTTCTGAGAGCATCCAGGCCTCCACACTGGTCCCTATAAGGGAAACATATCAGGATATTGATAAAAAAATAAAATAAAAGGAAAGAAAGTAGGAGAAGTAACAGGACTATCACTGAGCATTTGGGGAAAAATAATGGACCCTCCTTGTCCCTATTTTCCCTCCTCTCCCAGGATGGCAGGGGAAGCAATAGCATGTCAGAGTGGCATTACAGGTCCTCTGGCCCTGCTTAGCTTGAGGGAGCTGTTGAGGGCAAGGTTAAGAAGGCAATCAGAGTTTGTCTGGAAATCAAATGCAGCCTGTGCGATCAGTCTGGCTTTTTTCATTGCCTGCACAACCCTCAGGATGCCCTTTCCTGAGAGCTGACATTTGGTTCTGGTGTGACAGGGACCATGAAAGCCACAGGTACATAGCAAGCCTCTTCCAACTCAGGGACAAAACTTCAGCCAGCTTGAGTCTGAGAGATAAGAATTAAAAGGCAATTAAATAATAAAGTGTTTTAAAGGAAAATTAGAGTATAAAGCTGCTTCTGCCCTGGAGTTCATGCTGAATGCAGTGATGGTGCATGGTGGGCTGCCAGGTTGCACGGGTCTTCTGGAGCCATAGCACACAAGACCAGGATGACAAAAAGAAACTTACTTACTTGTTTGTAAGGGCCTTCCGTGCTCCTGAGCACTGACCCCTGCACGCAGTGAGGTTCTATGCTTTCATGGAAGCAGGATAGTTCTTTGATTTCCCAGAAAGTAACAACTTGTTCTACACTAAGAGCAAACACAGCCTAAGACAGCATTTGTGCAATACGGCAAAGCCTGCAGAGGCTGGGAAGAGTCCTCTCATGGAATGATGATAACCATGACCTTTGCTTTTATTATCTACACTCTGAGAATACTCACCAAACCATACAAGGAAAACCCAAGTAAATAGAAGCCAGGATGTACTAAAAACAAAGCAGGTTCTCTGGCTGGTTTATGGAATTCAAAGAATTTTACCTTTTCTTTCTCTTGCTCTGAATTGTTCTTAAAATAAAACTGTGACTCCTAGAAATTTGTGTACCCTTTTTAACATGCAAGGGGGTAATGAAAAGCTGTGTCTATTTTTTATGCAATTAAAGAGATGCATTTCCTCTTCCTTTTTGCGTTTTCAGCCATAAACATCAAGTATGACAACAGCTCTCCCTGGTCCCACTCTGCAGTTACAGGCCAGCCCTCAAGTCCTCCAGACTGAGGACTCATTGTGCTGCTGTGTGCCCGTGTCACAAGTGGCGCACTTGGAGACTTCACATGCAGCAAGTGAATCTATTAATGCTGGATCAAAGGTTACATTTCCGGCCCGTACACACACTGGAGCATTAGCAGCACACCTAGAAATGCTGCCACAGGCCTCCCTAATCCTCTCAAAGACGACATTTCTTGCACATTTCCTTGGTCACTGTCCTGTGTTGGCAGCCTGCAGGGCAGCTCCCATCACAGCGACATGCATTTGCTTACACCGTAGTTTCATGAGTGGCCCAAGCTGACATAAAGCAATACTTAAATGAAAGAGCTGGTTCCTCTTGTTACAGATAGGTAATGTGATGGTTGACTCCAGCAATGAAGGGATGAATATTGTGTGTATGTTAAAAGAAGTTTCACTGATATATGGTTATATGTTATTGTGGTTTGTTGTTTGGACACACTGTTCTCCCCTGGCCCCTCTCCCCGCTCCGCATTGTTGCCAATGGACAGCCTTGGCTCTGAGGGACGTGAGGAGGGTGAGCATGTACACACACCCCCAGAACAGGGGAGGAGCGCTGCCAGGGAGGCGGGGCATGGCAGCACCTCACCTCCAATCAAGGTACAGGAAAGTCGTGTTCACCAATGGATGGTGGAGAAGAGTTGACTGACAGACATGGGGAGGGGCCAGGGTTGACTGACGCAGCACCAGAGGTATAAAAGAAGGAGCAGCCATTTTGTGGAGGAGGTTGGGACAGACAGTCACACATTCACATTGCTGCCCTTTTTCCTTATTTAGTCCTTTGCTGTATTTGTTAAGGTTTAATAAACCTTTTAAAATTTTAAGTGAGGAGTCATTTCTCACAGTCTCTACTCCTGTCCTTCCCTCCTGCACTCTGAGAAAAGCAGTACTGAAGCTTTAGGTCAAAACTGTTTTTTACCACAGGCTGGCTTTCATTAGACTCTTAGCACAGTCTTGCCCTGCACAGCCTCCCAACATCTGTACCAGTGGAGCCTGGGGGTCACAGGGCAGGAATGAGCAGCATGGGCAATGAAGGATGAAGTTGGCATGCTTATCACTTTGAGCTTTGACATTGTTTTCAGCTGACATTGGCTGCCCTCACTGCTGGAACAGGAACCCCAGTGACATACCTCACATCCCTGCCTATGTTTCCATCATCGTCTTTGTGCCAACACCAGACTGCCTCAAAAATAAGCTTACAAATAAAATGCTTTTCCCTCCTTTACCTTTTGTCTAACCAAGACACAGGCGTTACTCTCAACTGAAGTGGTAGCTAAAACACTGCATTAGGCTCAAAATTCAAACTCATCATTTCAGCTGCAAGTCTGGATGCTCAAAGCCCCCCAGGGCACAGGTCCAACGCCAGGTTTGTCTCCTGGCACTAGACCTGAGTGAGCACAGTACACCATTGGGGTGGAGCATCCCTTGGCACCCTGTGTTTGCAGCTTGCTAGGTTCTCCTATTTGACCTGCTTTGCTTCATCTGAAAATAAATACATTAATGAATCCTTGGTTTCATTTCCTCTGCAAGCAGGGAATAGGCTCTGACCTTGGGACTGAAGCAAGCCACACCTCTGGGAAGGGGTCAGTGAAAGCAGAGCAATGTTGTTCTTACCAGAGCCACAGCTCAGGCCCTTTCAACATCAGAAGGGTATTAATTGAAGTCTCAGGGAAAAAAAAAAAAAGAAATATGCTAGCCTTGGCCAGCAACTTTGCTGAAGAGCATTGATAAAATTTTACAAAAGGAACCTCCTAATTCATGCTAGTTTGATGTTCAACACTATTGCATCTCACTGGAGCTTATCTGGCTCTATCACTTCGGCCTGAGACAGGAGTGGGTCACACCCCAGGAGCAGGATGACCCGAGGTGTGACTAGAGCACTTGCTCTACGGCTTTTTGGCTGTCAGTCTGTGGTCTGAGGAGACAAGGACAAGAGGGAGGTCTTTTGCATGGGATAACAGAGGATTTATTGCTCTGGGGAATCTTGGGGGCAAAAGACAGAAAATGTGAGCGTGCAACAGCTGAAATAGGGAGGCGGTTCAAAGGGAGGGTACAAAACATCAGCTAATCAGAGATATCCTGGGGAGGGTAAAAGGCAGGATTCACAAAATCATCATCCAATGAGGGAGGTAGGGGGGATAGTTGGGTCACATGGACTAATCAAGCGTCGAAGTTTAGGGGATTTCTGAAGTGGAATTCCGAGCATGCGGTGGGCCTAAAACAGATTGACAGGAGACTCAGGGCAGATTGACAACGTGGGGTGGGAGGATCTCATTTGGACTAAACCATCAACTTAGGTAATAACAGAACATACCATTAATAAGAAACACACTGCAACATGGACCACAATGTTACCAGCAGAGCAGCCCTCCAGGCACACTGACAGTAGATGGGCTTGGTAGGGGGACAGGCTGAGGCTACACACCCTGCACCCCAAATGTCTGGGGACAACCATCACATTCTTGACAAGCAGGGGAGCCCTGAGACCTTGTAACAGCAAACAAACAGCAGTCTGGAGGTGACATCTTCAGAAAAGCACTGAGATGGATGTGGTTAAGCAGCCAAGGGGTAAGTGAATTGATTAAGAAAAGCAAAATTGTTGTAGTTTAAGGCCTTGCGTTCGGAAGATATCGGGATGTAACGGGAAGTTAGTAAACCCCCCCCCTCTGTTAGGATAGTAAAACCTCCTGCAATTAGCCAATAGCACCTAGCTGTGACGAAAGCAGATGGGAGTAACACAGTGACCCTAGGTTATAAAACGTTAAATTCTCCTGTAATAAACACCATTTCTACGCCATCCATCACATTGATGTCTTGTGGGTAGATGGTCCATGTGGCCAAGGAGAGCCACTGTGCTGGCTTCTGAGTCAGGGTGCTTGCCTTGCTTGAAAACAAACACAAAATAAGTACCACCAAAGCTGTAGACAGCTCACACATCACAGCTAACACCACCAGGGACAGGAGAGTAGGAAAAAGCAGTTGTTTGGCTTTGTCCCCCACATCAGGTACTTCACTAAGTAGTTCAAAACATCCTCCCTCCAGTGGTTGCATAGCAAAAATGACGTGGAGGGAGCTGATGTGTGCAAATACCTGTGTAATTGTCTGTTCTGGCTTACAGACTTGATGTTATCACAGCAACACTCCTACAAACACTCCTACGTGGGAAAATGAGCTCAGCTATGCAAGTGGGGGGAGAAGAGCTGCCCAGCCCTGGCCTGGGAGGAACAGTCACAGGGAAGGAATGAAAATGCAGCAGAATTAATGAAGAATAAAGTACTATTTCAATGTACAATTTAATCTTTTCCTATTGGCGAGAAAGTTTTGTGTAATTTTTGGTGTTGTTCACAAGTAGGTAATTTCTGCTTTGAGAAATGCTCCTATAAATTGATTTTTAGGGTCCGCCTAACTCAGAATTATTTCTAGCTTATTTTACAGCCAGTTTTGCCTAAACTATTTCTAAATTGGTTAAAGTAATCATATGGGTTTCAGATAGTATAAAGCAAACAATCAATTTTTTTTTCCTGCACTAATTTCAAGATAACTTTGAAAAGTCCATTAAAGCTGATGCTATTGCAAAGTGTTCAGATCACCTGAAGTCTTCTTGTGCTGTTTTTGGCTGTGGTAGAGTTCATTCTATTCATAGTAGCTGGAATGGGGCTGTGATTTGGATTTGTGCTGAAAACGGTGTTCCTAATACAGAGATGTTTTTGCTCAGGTCCTGAGCAGCACTTATCCAGAGCCAAGGCCTTTCCTGCTCCTCACCCACCCCACCAGCAAGAGGCTCCACAAGGAGCTGGGAGGGGACACAGCCAGGACAGCTGACCCCAGCTGACCCAGGGGATATCCCAGCCCATATGGCACCATGCCCAGCATATAGAGCTGGGGAGAAGGAGGAAGAGGGGAGATTTGGAGTGATGGTGTTTGTCTTCCCAAGTCACTGTTACAGGTGATGGAGCCCTGCTGTCCTGGGGATGGCTGAGCTCCTCCCTGCCATGGGAAGTGGGGAATGAATTCCTTGGTTTGCTTTACTTATTAAACTGCCTTTATCCCAACCCACGAGTTTTCTCACTTTACCCTTCCAATTCTCTCATCTCTATGTAGGGGATATGAGTAAGCAGCTACAATGAAATCATTGTGAATAAAACACTTCGTAAAAATTTTGGATTGCAAAAACCAAGATCCAAGTAGGTACTGTGTTAACTAGTAAGGAATCACCTTATTCCTTTCTTCCAACTAAACTACAGAAGGTAACAGCTACTGCCAAGAAAGGTGGGGTCAGCTGTAATCTAACTATTGCTGGAAGGAGGAGCTGGGAACAAGCTATCAAAAAAGGTCTCCCATTGTCGTCCACTTTCATCTGCACTTGTGATTTATCTCACCATGTTATGATCTCAGGTCTTGTGGCCCCAGTCTACACATGCTGACTCTTTTCCTGCTCTAACTCTCCATTACCTCCCTTCAAAGTCCGTCAGTCAGGAGAAGCTGGGAGCAGCACTGAGTTGTATTTGCTAGCTCAGTGGCCAGCTCCTGTGGCTGTTCCTTGTGGGCTGATTTGAGCATGAAATATATTTAGAGCATGAAATCCCTCTTACCTCTATAAATTCTTCACTGACTCATCACAGGGAAATTAGCAGCCCTACACAACCATGAAAACAGAGAAAAGGATACTTTTGGGAGAACTGCCAACACCCTTTATCTCCAATGAGAGTTTTAATTGGCGCCAGCATTTGTGCTCATTTTGATCCACATGCTTCAACACTCAACACCGATATTTAAGCATGAAAAGGTGTAGAAATGATACAGATGAGGCATGTGACCATGAAAGCCATATGGGAAAGTGCTGATCCCTTCTCTCTCTAGTATCAGCCTGCATTTATTCCAGTGTCTCTTCTGCAACTCAAGGTTTACACAAACACAGCAAAGATGGTATTTGCAGTCAGTCAGGATCACACAGTCAGATGTTGCACCTGAGCTGACAGGCAGTAACAGCTGCTTATGCTCCCATGCCATCATTTAGAATATGGCTGGACTAAGTTATGCTCAAAATGCCATTCGCAGGATGGCAGGCAGGTGTCTACTCAAGCACTGCTCTTAACAGGAGGCAACAATCCTCTGCAAGAGAACAAAAGGTCTGGTCCTCACCTCTTCGCTAGGCATGCATGGGCCTAGGGAACAGCATCCACCACAGTCTCTGTATTTGTCAGCCTCAACGGAAAGCCACTTGATGGAATATGCAAACCTTTGCTCTGTTCTGAACTAAGCAAAAGCAGGAGGCACTATTCACCTCTGCTATTTCAAAGTTCTTATCAAACAAGAGAATGTGTAGAGGACTATGGAATTACAAAACAAACTTGTCAATAGTGGTAGGCTACTGTGTTCAATATTGAAATCAGTTTTGATAGCAAAAAAGATATTTTGCAAGCAAATAGCTCCCTCTTGCAGTCCAGCACATTTAGTTGTTTTCCAAAACAACAAAATACACAAAAACATAGAGCTGCAGCATAAGCACTGTCTGTCCACTTGCCCAGTAAACAGTGAAAACGGAATTTCACACACATGCATTCGAGTGAATGCATATTTAAACATTACAGCTATTACAATCTGCTGGATACAGAAATGTGAAAGTTTTTTAAATATGCTTTTGCTCTCCCTCTTGGTTCCCCACCTTGTGCAAGGAGAGGACACCGGGAGCTGGTTCTCCCACCTGCCTTGTAAGCTTGGTTGTGCCTCCTCTAGGCTGCATTTACCACCCTATCTGCCCTCTTGTAGGCATGGTACGTGTATTGCAAAAACGGCTGCCAGCCTGGTGCTCTGGCCAGGTCATGTCAGGCTTGTGGATCCCAGAGGAGTCACCCTGTAGCCTGGCCTGACAGTCCCAACCTTAAAGTGCTCCCTGGTTCAGTCCCTACAAAGGGAAGACTGATTGCACTGAGTAATTTCTCCTCCACATCCCAGAAAGATGAGCCAGGACTTAGCTGACCTCACTCACAAAAGGGTTATTAAGATCAAAAAATATTTCTGGGGCCTCCCAGAAAGACAAAAATACAACCACCATGTCACAGAGCAGAACACAACAATCCCACCACAACTAGTTGGATGGATGACTGGTGGCCCAAGATTTTCCTTTCCTGCAACATGCAGCTCAAGCAAGGGCTGACCCAACTTGCCATAATTCAGCACTGCTGATAACAACTCAAAAGAAGTCTTGGGGTGGTGGGAGGGAGCAGGAGGAAGGATTTTGTATAATTCCATTTTAGTATGGTGGGAGTCTAATAGGCAGCTCTGAGGGAAACTTGGGCTTGTCCTGTTTAATTATCTTCCTCTTGTTAAAAACAACTTAAACCACCTCATTAGTTGCCATCCATGGCTGATCAATTAAAGCAGGAGCTAGCACTCCAAAAGGGCAAAATTAACTTCAGTAATATTAGTCTTTCTGTATAAAGTCATATTATGGAGATGATCATTTTGTTGGAATGGGTATCTCCTTTTGTTGTCATTTTCCCAGGCTTGCTGTGAGCATTAGGCTTCTCTGAACCTTCTGTGGTGGGTAACAAATAATTTAATGCAGGGAGATTAGAAGCTTAGAACAGAATATGCCCAGAGTATTTCTGTATTTCTACCTAGAAGGGCTGAAAGAGAAGAAAAAGCTGACTGGCCACAAATAACTTGTTTACAAAGGGAATGGACACCAAGCACAAAATAGGCAATGTAATTATTGCTTCCAGTCGCCCTTCATTCCCCACTGCTGAGCCAAGGCAGCTCCTGAACACCAATATCTCACCAGTGACCATGGGAGCCAAGACAAGAACAGGAGTGGTAGCTGTTCCAGCAGTGCCAAACTCCAAAACAGGAGCTCCCAGATAGGCTGATATCAGGGATATAAGGAGCCTGAGCTGGCAGTCCCAAGCACCAGCATGCAGTCCTGGCCAGCTTCTGAGGCAAATGGGGCTGGATGTGATCAGGACATGGCATAAACTCCTGTCTCTGTGGCATGGCAGTCCAGGACTGTGCCAGCAGTGCTGTGCAGTCTGCAGCCGCTTCAGGTTTCCCCAGCTTGGCTGGCCTCAAGGTCAGTCCCAAGATGGTATTTGATTTTTCTTCTCAAAATCTTAGCTTTCCCCCTTGTGTGCTCAGATCTACCTCCAAGGGTCTGACTGGGTCCCATACAGCCACATTAAAACTTCAGTGAGAGAAGTATTCTTAAGCGTATAAATGCTCCTGAGATATCAGAGGTCAGAGTGCACTTTGCTCTTTCATCACTTCCAGCTATTTTGCCCTGCACTAACAGCTATAATAACCCACAACAGGGGAACCATTCATGTGGGCTATGAGCATGCCAGAAGCCTGGCTGCGACTATGGAAACCAGTAGCTCAGGAGACAATTCAGCGCCCAAAAATTACTTCACCAGCATCACTGATAATAATAAACGGATTAGTGAATGGGAAAAAGCTCTGTGGTTTCATTCAGTCCTTATGAAGTAAGAACCCTACAGTGAGAAAGTCTCTCAAAAACAGCTGAATTTGTGTTTTGGTTTTGATTCCCAGTGTGCAGAAATTATGAATGAAATACTGCTGTAAATCAGGCTGTTAGAAGATCTCCCCCAGCCCTTTACTAACATCAATCATCTGATTGCCTCTAGTAACAGTGTGTCCATGAGTGAGGACTTTTGGCAGGAGTAAAGTTGGAAAGATGAAGCACACGCACATAATGACAGATTCATGGAATAATATAAATGTTTATACATACTGGCATGGGAGCACTAAGCTTCCCATACAATTATTTCTGCTCTGTGTTCAGACGTGCCATTCATCTTGGCTGCTCTCAATCGAGCAGGTTTGTAGCTCACAGAGGCAGCCAACGCACACTCAGCCACTCTTTGCTCTGGTTTGTACCAGATCTGATTCCATCCCACAGCTCCTGCTTAGCAATGCCGAGGCAGTGAAGGCAGATTTCAGCCCAGCATTATCACAAGAACCCCTACAAGCTTTCCTGGCTGGCGTCTCCTCCGCACAGCTCTACTTTCTCTTTGCTTTTGCATGAAGCCAAAAGGGTTCTCCTCCACCACCTGACATCTCTCAATGACTTGAGGCTGAGGCCCAGAGACAGAGCTTGAGAACTCTGAACTTTCTCTACAGATTTTTACATGTGGCAAACACACCATTTTAGATGTCAAAGCAGTATTTTCAAGAGCATGGTGTCATCTGCTAAGGGGTGAGCAGTTAAGCTCAGACATTGCAGACCTCGGGTGCCAGCTTGCTACAGTATGCTATAGGAAAAGAAAACATTTTGCTATTGTTACTTCTTATAATGAAAACTGGCAGTAGGAGTGAAACTACAGAATGTGTCATGAAACATTTAGGATACCATTGTTTCAGGTAAAAGCTACCAGACATCTTACAGGGTAAGGGATATGAGCGTGGAAATGGTGCAGAGCTCCTGTCCAAGAAAACCAGCCTGGGAGAGGTTTTCACCATGGTGAGGTAAGAAACCTTACATACTAACTGTATGGACTAAGATATTTTGCTACCTGCAGTATTTCCCTTTGTAGAATAGAAATCAGCAGAATAATACTCCTAAACCCATGGTGTGGGTGGCAGCCTAGAGACTCACATCCTGCCAGAGCTGAACTGTGAACTCCTAAGCCCAGAGTGCTAGGAAAATGTGGTCTCAGGGAAGATTGCTTTCCAGCAGCATTTTCCTTTTTTTTTTTTTTTTTTTTTTTTTTTTTTTTTTTTTTTTTTTTTTTTTTTTTTTAATAGGCAAATGCAAATAGCATTGTAGTCACAGATTGCCAGCAGCAGTAGTATAAGGGAGCCACAGCCTGCCCCTCTCATGTAACACCTCAATTACTCCTGCCATCTTGCACAATCAAAACTAATTACAGCCACACTGTCACTTCTCTAGCAAGGAGTAAAATGGTGATGATAATGATTATGGGGTAATAGAAACATTCATTTTATGCACATTGGTAATGCAAACTCACTCATGTATCCTAAAGGCATTAGGGTAAATGTGCTCTGACTCCAGAGCGGTTCAATCAGACGAGAAATAACTGCGTAAACTATTCTGACCATAACCCCTCAAAGTTAATTAAAACATCAAGTGCCTCCAAACCAGTGGCATGTAAATAAACATTTTTCATAGGTACTCTCATTCATGAAAACATAGAAGACAGATTGCATCAGTAGCAAGGAGATACCATTCTTTCAGGTGAAAAAAGCCCAAGCTCATCCTCCTCCAGTGCCAATTGCTGAAAAGTGGTTTGGGAGCACAAGATCTAGCAGCAGCAGCTCTATTGTGGGACTCACCACTAGAAGCTCCTTGTGTGTAGCCCACACTCTACATCATCCAAGGAGTCAACTGTAATAAGCAGAGCAGGTTTTCCTACCAGAGCATGATCTGAACATGGCCACCATGGGCAGGCTGTGTCTAGGGGGTCAGTGATGTCCCAAGAGCACAGTTTATCCCAGAATCTCATAGGACCTTCATGACCATAATATCAGGAGAACACCCTGAGCCCTGCAAATCTCATACACATACAAAGCTTCTCTCTAAATCATGCATGCCTAAAACCCAAACACAAGCTTTCATGAGCATGACTGTCAGATTCCTCTGTGCAAAGTTCATTTAAGTCATACAGTTCAGACACATATGGATTACCTTTTTTCCTCAATGCTACACATACCAGTCTCAGATGCTGAACCAGGAGCAATTAGCAGCATGCTCTGGAGTATCATCTGCTGACAGACAAAATGCCCCAGCACAAATATAACTATGGGCACTGCACCTTTTGGTCAGGAAGAAAGTCTGGCTCTGAACTCCCAAAACAGCAGAATAATTAATATATTATGTTTTTCTTTATAAGTGATCGATTGCATAAAGTGGATATTAAGAACAAGGTAAAATGCACAAAACACCTGAAAGCAAATTGTCATCTAGGTGAGCTTGAGGAAAATCCATATGTATTTATATAAGTGTATGTTTATATAAATGTATATTTATATTTTTTTATATAATATTTTATATATATAATATTTATATTATATATTTTTATATATAAAAATATATATATTTATATATAAAATCCAGTGCCATTACCATGTGTTTTAACTGTTGCTAAAAGACAGGGAATGATTCACACTGACATGTCTCACTGGTATGGCAGGAAAGAGAGACTTTATTTTCTGACTCCAGTATTTATAGTTTCTTGACAATGACCAGGGATTGGATAACTAAATCACCATCTTCCAAATCACACTGGTCATGCAAAATGTCCATCAAAAAACGTTTATCAGAAGGAATGTGATAAACAGCTTATGCTTACCAGAGTCTCATGGGAAAATAACTGAAACTATGAAAACATTATCAGAAGGCCTAATTTTCAGGGTGACATTTAACTGTTACTTTGAGAAAGATAATAGAATATGTCAGAAATGGAGGGTAGCCTGTACCAAAGCCTTCATCCACACTGCCCAAGAGGATGCTTTTGGATGAGTACAACAGCCATGCCTGGAAGCATGGCTGTCCTCCACAAGACATCATCGGAGTCTGGAGGAAAAGAGGAGGCTTTCCTATAAATACATCCTACAACGTGGAAAGTTTGGGTAGGCAAAGCTGATCTCCCACATACCTGCACAGAGAGCTTGTGCCAGATCCATCTTGAGAACATGCCACTCTGCAGCCTCTGTCTTACATCCCAGTGTCTGAAAACCCCCTGCCCTGAAACATGGGGCTGGAAGGCCTTGATAATTTGCTTCTGTAGTTTCATCTGTGTGAGCTAAAGCAAACTAGACCTGCTTTAAAATAAATCTACCATGAGATCTACCTTAAATTGCAATAAGCTACTTATTAGAAGTTATAGTTCGATATTACACAATACTCCCTCAACAAAAGCTGTGAATTTGGTTTTTTTTTGTTTATGCAAGGAGTCAGTTTAGAAAATGGCACTTGGGGACATGATTTAGTGGGGAATACAGCAGCACTGGGTTAATGGTTGGACTTGGTGATGTTAGAGGCCATTCTCAACTTTACCTATTCTATGACTGTACAAAAAAGAAAAACCAGGATGAAATCTTTGATTGTTTCTCATTTTTACATGCCTTGCTGTATGACAGAATATGGATTTTCACTAACTTCAACATGATAGTTCATACATAGCTACTGGACTAAGCACAGCTGAGTATAACCAGGTGTGATGGGTTGATGCTCACCAAACACCAGTGCACCTATGACAATAATTTACTCATTATCCTCTGTTATGGTTAAGCAGAGGAGGGGGAAAAAAATGCATGGGGTGAGATAAAGATTAGGAGAAAACACTTTAAGGGCAAAACAGGCTCAAACCTTTAAAAGGTATAAAGAAAATAATGTATGAAAAAAATTAGAAGAGGATAATGAGAACTAAAATAAACCTTTAGAACACCTTTCCCCCCACTCCGGCTCTTCTTTTCTTCCCACTGACAGTGCAGGCAGAAAAAATACAGGATTTTTAGTCAGTTTGCCACTTCTTAAGATCTTCAGTTCGCTTAGGGAGAGGAGTCTCTTTTGCTATGCCATGGGGTCTTTCCTACAGGAAACAGTTATCTGTGAACTTCTTCAAGATGGTTTTAATTTTCGCAATTAACAGTCCTTCCAAAACCTGCTGCAACATGAAAATCCCTCCTATGGCTTGCAGTCTTCCCACAACTGCTTTTTGTGGGTGTGATGGATTGGCATTTAAGAAACAAAGTGAAACACCTAAGGAAGTTAAAGATGCTAGAGGCTGATGGGAGTTTTTCTCCTAGCCAATAACTGGCCATTTCTGAGAATAGATAGTAGTTTTGACCATTGAAAAGTGAGATTAACTTGTGAACACCACCTTAAGACCTAAGCCCGGGAATTTCTTTGTCTCTTTGGTTTCCGGCTTTGAAGAGGCAATGGGTCCAGTTCAGCTTCCTTCCCCCAGGCCAGACAAGGCTGCTGGGGGAACAGGACTGGCCAGAGTTCTGCAGGTCCCGGAGAGGATGGAGACTGTGAAGTCACAGGAGCCCCTTCTTGGAGGACTTGCTGAGCCTTGTACAGCGGGCCTGCCGGGCCAGGCTGGTCCTTGGCTTGGCTGCAGTCTCTGATGCTGCTGAGTTTCACCAGAGACTGCTGAGTAAGGGGAGGGAAAGCTATTGGCCTGCAGCGTGCTGAGATCGTGGCCACACTCCCCCAGAGCAGCCATGGAAAAAAATCTTCCATTGCAGACAACCCCAGCCACTGCTCCGACAGAGATCACAGGACCATCCACATAGCCTGGGTAAGATTTTAACCCTTTTCTACTCAGATGAGACTTGCAGATGAATCCTTTTTTCCAGAGAGAGGGGAAGAGAGAGAGTGATCAACATGTAAAGAGACAACATAAACTATCAAAGACAGTAAAGAAAGTAATTAAGCTTCAGATGGGGGAGAGAAATAAGGAGATGCTTTAATAAGCTGAAATATTATTTTGCCAAAACTATGGAGATGGACAATAGTATTCTGAAAAAAACTCCTTTAATTCATGCCAGAGTATTTTTGGGGGAAATGTAGTATTTCGAAGCGTGGATCTAAACAAATGGTGAAGTAGTTGTGATCTTATGAGATGCTGGAAAAGGAAAAAGAAGTGAGAGTTGTTGAAGATTTGTGGCCCTTAAGAGACAGAGAAAAATTCTGTTTCCAGAGATGATCACAGAGACAGATGAAGATAATTTTTGCCTTTGAATAACTCTTGACTCACGACCCAAGAGCACACCTCAGAGTGGTGTGAAATGGGAGGAAAGGACTGATGGCAGAATTTTCCGGGTGGCTGGCATCAGAAAAATAGAAAGCCATGAGAAAATGGTTTTCTGTTGTAATGATGTTAGGAAAAATGGTATGACCCAAAGAATGTAACCCCGAAAATGTAGACTTGTAAGTTCTTTCCCTTATCTTGTTCTCCCAGTTACCCTTATTGGTTGTGTAAATTCCCCCACACCCCTTTCCTTTTGAAAAAGGGGTGCCTATCGATACCTCTTCCTCTTTCCCCCCTGCAACTTCACTCCCAAGAGTGATCCCAAGAAATAAAGCTGCAAATGCCATCTCAGCAAAGGGAAAGAGCCTCGTTTTTAGGGCCTCCTCTGGCAAGTTAAAACTACCTCCCCAGCCTCCCTGGCTGCTGCCGGGTGGACAGTGGTAGCAGTGAGGTGGGGGATAAGATAATAATAGCAGTTTTCTTGTGAAAAACGCCATAGATTGACAAAAGAGAACTTCTTTTTCTCTACAAAGACTGATGAAAAGACTATAGCAAAGTTGGGACTATGTTAACCACCAGGTTTTTTTGTCTCTGTGTTGTCATGTAAACAAAGGAGTGGTTGGGTGCTGGGGAAAAAAAGGGTTTCTGGAGGTTTTATTCTGGTTTCTTATTCTTGTAGTTTTGTTAACAAACTTTCTTTATTCCTTTTAAGTTTTAAGCCTGTTTTGCCCTTCTTCTAATCCATATCTCACAGCAAAAAAATGAGTAAGTTTTCTAGTGATTTTTTAGCCAATGCTTTAAAACCACGACAGTGGACCATTTAATTTATGGGGTGCAGGTTTTAAGGATGAGCTGTTCTAGTATAAAAGCAAGGATCTTCTTCCTCTGTCTTTGAAAGCAAGAGTTTTCTCTTTCTCTGTCAAAGCCCCGCATCAGATCACAGCTTTTCAGCATCCACATGCTCCAGCACAAGTGCCCTTTTCTCATGGGCTGTGGAGAATGCTGCATCCTCTCCATGCACTTCATGAATTACAGGGAAACAGTTTGCTGTATTATTGTCCTCACCACGGCTTGCAGGAGAATTTCACCTTTGAGGCCCAGAGCACCTCCTCCTCCTCCCACTCCTTCTTTTGCGCTGACCTGAGTGCCGCAATATTGTTCTCATGTGTCTTCATCTTTTCCTTTCCTGTGACTCAGAAGAGAATCAGTGTTTGTAGGTTCATTTTTTCTCAAAGTCTATCAATTGAAGCAGTTTCTATAGAGTTCTGCAGCACTGAAAGGTTGATGTTGTCCATGCTCCGCCATCAGGGAATCGCTTGCCATGCTTCTCTCTCTGTTGGACACGTGGTCTCTGCCAGCACTGTGCAAGCTCTGCTGGCTGCCTGCTCCCTCCTGGGCCTTTTCTTCATGTGGGATGCTGGCAAAAAGAAAAGTTGCTGCTGCATCTTTTGCCTTTCTGTCTGCAGCATGGCTGGCTAAAAGCAGCTGAGTAAATAAAGTCCATTGTGAGCCATGCAGGGAGCTGCGGCCTTGTGGCACCATCCCAGCTGCATGGCTGCTTGCAGTGCTAGGATGGTCCCCAGCAGTATGGCCCAGTGGCTGCACCAGAACAAGGTCCAGTGGCCACCTCTGGGAAGGGAGCCCCACCAGCCTTCCCAACACCTCTTTAGAGAGCAGGGAGCAAAAGAGCTTCCCATGGGTTTTTTTGTTCTTTAAGATGTTATCATAGAGGCATTTCCAGCTTTTCTAATTGGCTTAGCAGTATGCCTGTCTTCAGAGATACCCAGAGACTGATTTTGCCAGGCACAGAGGAAGTCTGTAGCAGCTCTTCACAGAGAATCACTTCTGTGGCTGACTTTTTCCCTCCTCACCACAAATCAATGAATGCAAGACCAGCACATCAGTCTCCAAAGAAGTTAATGAATCTGTATTTCTCCTGTCTGATAGAACTTCCTTCCAAAAAGAAACTGCTGAAGCCCAATGTTTTGTTGATCATGAGTGATTTTTAGAAAGAAACCCAGGATGATATGAAGCATCTGCCAGGAAAAGACAGTATTTTCTGTACAGTGAAAAATTTTAGAGGGCAAACAAGCCCGCTCCCCCCACCCTCATGCTTGACACATCTTCCCTGCACCAAAACAAACCCTTCGTTTTGCTTGCTGAAAAACAGAAGGAGAAAAAAGTTTCAACAAAACAATCAACAAAATAATCAGATGTCATCACGTAGGCTCTCCTGCTTGAACTGCATGGGAGCTGTGTGACTCACTGCTTCAGTCACAGAGCAGAGGAATGAGTGAAACTGCACTGAGGAAGAGTAACTTCCATAACAACTTTTGTTTCCCAATAGAATTCCATTTTCAGCATTAAAAGGAGATTATTCCTTCCAAGTACTTACACACATGCAGGCATCTGCTAACAGATGGAGCCAAGCCCCACATTAACACCTTTATAGATGCATGGGAGTGGTATACTCATCCTTGACAGGGGCTTGCTAAACCAAGGAATTGAAGAGCCTCTCATGGTTCTCATTCCCATCTGGCAGTTTTAGAAAGCCAGACACAAAATTTCACAAGGCCTCAGGAAAAACTGGCTTCAGAGGTGACCTTACTGACATCTCCAGGATTTAGTCCTCCCTCCGCTGAGCTAACTCATAGCACCACAGAATCACAGAATTATTTGTATTGAAAGGGATCTTTAAAGGTCATCTGGTTCAATCTCACTGCCATAAGCAGGACATCTTCAACTAGATCAGGTTGTTCAGAGCCTTGTCCAACCCAGCCTTGAATGTTTATAGGGATGGGGCCTCTACCACCTCTCTGGGCAACCTGAACATCCCAACACCTACTAGGGGAAGGGACTTGCAGCCCAAGCCACCAAACATGCAGCCAACCTTTCCATGTCTGGGAAGTCTCCTGATATCTTGACTATTTTCAATTTTGCTGCTTTTCCTAGCTTCTGCCATTCCCTGGGCTCACCTGCACCCTGAGGGTATTGTACCACACCACCTCAAGCCTGTGTGTCCCCACCGACCTTGGAATGCTCCTCTCCCCTCTCTGCCCTTCCACATATTCCACAAATTATGCGTTCAAGTGAGAGAGGAGTTTACAGCTCTGGAATTTTGCAAATGGGAAAGATAAACTCAAATAAGGGAAAAGTAGGAATATTTTTGCATCAATTACTGAACATACTTCCTTCTGAAGAGTAAAAGGGGTTTTCAAAAAAGTAGTGAACACACCCAGGATTCCGCATTCAAGTGAGTCCTAAAACTCAAAGAATCTAAATTAGCATAATTTTGACAGGGAATTTTTTTTTATAAATTTAATTTATACATTCTAGAGACTTAATTTGGAGATCCACATGAAAGCTTGGGGGAAAAAGATAAAAATTTAAGTGAAACATTCTTTCGTACCTCATTTCTGGTGGTTTGCCTTTGGAAATACAGAAACAGCAGCAGTGAAAAAAGAAGGGCAAGAAAATCTGCATATGTTCACCTCTACTATTGACACACATCAGCATTTCCTCACCTGTACAAGCTTTCACTGCTATTTTCATTTAATTACTTTTATATGGTCTATTACACAGTCAGTGAGGTACAGAACTTGGTAGCATCCTGATCATTAGAGATGATCTAGGTTAATTTTAGGTTTATCTGAGAATATTTGTAATAAGAAAATAATATAGGAATAATAATAAAATAGTAAAAAATATCACCTACTAGCACTACATGAAAACTTATCTGATGCAAAATCAAGTGCAAAAGAAAGTGTGAACTCCCTTACATCTAGAGGGACACCCTGTGCTGCACATGTGCAGTGGTGCCACACATCTTAGAATAAAAGGCTCCAGGGACACCTTTGAGCAACTTCCAGTACCTAAAGGGGCTACAAAAGAGCTGGAGAAGGACTTTGGACAAGAGCAAGGAGTGACAGTACAGGAGGAAATGACTTCAAATTGACAGAGGGAAGACTCAGATTAGATATTGGGAAGAAAGTCTTCCCTATAAGGGTGTTGAGGCACTGGCACAAGTTGTCCAGAGAAGCTCTGGATGCCCCATTCCTAAAAGTGTTCCATGTCAAATTGAAGGAGGCTTTGATCGATGTGGTCTAGGGCAAAGGTGTCCCTGCCCATGGCAGTGACAATCCAGTCCAAGCCCTTCTGTGAATATGACTTCATGCAAGTTGAGCTGCTGTAACTGTGTGTGCTCTTCTTATTAAAAAAAAAAAAAAAAAAAAAAAAAGATAATAATAAAGAAATGGTCTTCAGTCACTGTGTTAGTGAGAATTTCTCACAGAGTCATGCCATCGAAAAGCTGTAGAAAAGCCACAAACTAAAGCCAAATCTCCTTCCTCCTACTCTGATACTCTTAGCTGTAAGGCCATCTGGTAAGAGGGATATAAAGCAAATTTTAACTTGCACTCACAAGACAATTATAGTTGAAAACTAGATTAACTACAGTCCATTTGAGTTCACTGGAAATGTGCCAACCAGTAAATTAGATTGATCACCACTAATCTCCATATCCATCACTGCTGGTCCCTGGTTGAGCCCAGGGATAGAACCAGTAGAGCCAAATGGGAGGAAATTGAATCAAGGGTTTGATTGTATGTCTTTGATAATTTTTAAGGAACAGACTGGCAGACCAGGCCACTCTAAGCTTCCAGCCCCTTGTGGTGGAGAAACTACAGGGAATTAATTTGCAGAAAGTTTGTCCAGAATTTTGAACTGTGACTAAAAGATGATTAATCCAGTCAAGCAATTCCTTCCAAGGCTGACCCTTAACTGCAAACATGCAGTGGATGTAAACAAGGCATTCATATCGTAAGTTCTACTCTTTTTATTGTTTTAGAAGAGTTAAGTCTAAACAAACTCTCTCTGAGGCGCAGGTCATGTGTACTCTGCAGAGAGAGATGCTGCAAATTCCAGGTAGTGAAGAAAGGTTCTAGATGTTTGTGACATTCAAATGCAGAGCTGGCTGAAATGACAATTATGACCCCTACAAAAGAAATGTCTGTCTGTGCTGTGAATTTCCATAATATAAACCAAGCCACTTGCTGATGTTTAAATTCCTCATAGAACAGCCAAAGGAAAAAAATAAAACAGAACAACAAAATATGAGACTGTAGATTTACATTAACCTCATTTTCAAATCACTAGGGCATGATCCTTCTCTGCTGAGCCCAACTTGGGCATGAGGCAGTCTTTAAGTCTTCCCTTCTAAGTCATGTATCCCTGATCTCACTGTGCAGCACATCAGCTAACAGTGTCCTGATTTACTGAGTGATTCAGGGGTTAAGTATCATGGGTCAATATAGGCTTCATTTAGACACAATTTTCTAGCATTAATAGTAATCTCAAAAACATTATGTTGATTATTTCTACATCTCACTGACCCTGAGCCATATCTTTATTTTTCATCTGCTTTACCCTTTGCTCTATTTCCTCCTTTAAGTTTTCAACTAAATCTAAGTCATTGACATAATTCAGGCATTTTGAGGGCAAAACAACACCCATCCTTGATCCTGGTCCAGAAGTCTTCAAAAACTATACTGAGGTTAAGTCATTAGGATTTCTCAGCTGACTAGAGAACCTCATAGAAGGAGCTCCCAAGTTCTGAACAGCTCCAAGGTACTGTTCCTTAGACAATAACAACCTCTGCTGTAGCTCACTGAGGACCTCAGCAACTGCCAACACTGATTGCTAAAGAAGCTTTTTCAGTTTAGCAGATGAAAGTTGGATTTCACCTGTGTAGCACTTGTACATGAGCAAAAATAAGATATTAAATGCCTCTCACTTGAAAAAACACAGTAGGAATCAGTATTAATGTTTAAGCTGTCCATTTCCAGACAAATCGGTCCCTTACTTCATCTTGAGCAAAAGTAAAACTACCCTCAGGGACTCCCCATTTGAAAATGCTGAGAGATTATCAGCAATAAAGCCATAATCTAAACTAATTCCAGAGTTTAGATTCAAATATTGCTGGTTTCTACTTGTGTCTTCTAGTTTTGAATTTTCAGTATCTGTCTTCAGCAAGATATATCCCTGGTGTCATTATTAACAGTATTCTACTCTGAACTGTTAAGGAGAGAAAGCCGGAGGTTTCTGCCAGGTAAAACACCAGAGAGGAAGAAAAGCAGAAGTCAGTTTTAAGAGAGAATCAGAAAATTCGTAATTGAACAGTTAGAAAATAACAGCATCCAATCCACAGTGTAACTACACCTCCCCCCACCTCTACGAAGATGAGATACTGTACAAAATTTTTAGTATCTTGTCTATTAGCAGGGCTACATGTGCAAAGCTGGTTATGAAATGATTTTAAAAAACAACATTTCAATAGTCTCATATCTCCAGTGTTACTTGCAAATTATATAAATCTGCAATATTTTATGTTTTAATAATCCTTATCAATCTTTGCTTCACTACCTCTACTAATCAAATACAAAAACAGCAGAAATATTAACCTTGAAAAATTGCAAGAGAAGAAGAACCTTGAAAAGAAGTGCAAGGCTGGACGTATATTTTGGCAATTTAACTGTACTTTACCCAGTGCAGTTATATAAGCTATGTGCTTTCTATCTGCTTTGTGTGAGTAGCATGCTGCACAGATGTTGGAACAGATCTTTTCTGCATCTGGTAAATGGATTCTCTGGTTCACGCAGTCACAAACCGAGATTTTTACCAAGATGCTGGTACTACTTTGGCATAAATGGAGGGCTGACAATAGGTGGGCTGAGCTACTCAAAATTGATCTTGAGATCAGCAATGAAAACATTTCGTGATTTTGTATTTTAGGAAACTGAGCCAAAGTATAATGTTCTTATCTGCAATTTCATGGGAAAAGGACAGTTTCTGCTATATATGTCTTAGGAACATCTTCCAGTTGCTTTTGTTGAGGCTTAAACTAGCCAGCTTACACACACTGAGCATGCTGCTAGCTGGCCAAGTTACAGCACATGGGCTGCTTGCCAGGACTCATTCAGAATAAAGCACTCAGTAAGTGCTGCTTCAGACATATCTATCTGAATCCCAGTGTGACTTATCAACTGGATTGCACTACAATTGGCTAAGAGACTGGAAAAAAGAAGTCTTGGGATAAAACAAGCACTAGATCTAGCACTTGGGGAGTTAAAGACATCTGGACCATGGCAGGCTATGCTCTGTCATCAAGCCCTCTTTGCACTAGACCTCCCCTCTCCCTGCCATGTGATTAACCCAGTTATTCTCCAGAAAATGCCACAGCCCTGGGGAGAGCTGTGGGCTCACAGCAATCTGCAGTGGCCAAGCTGTTGCTGTGATAACATCCAGGCTTCCCATTACATGTTTGTGGTGCAGAAGTATTCAGCTCCCATAGGCCATGGTTGGGCTGGAGACAGTGAGAAGGGACTTGTGGGGAAAGCAGCCAGAGCCCAGCCTGCCCTGCCTCTGACACAGCAGCATTTTCCTCCATCAATCCTATGATTCTCCTTGCCAACAGCTCCACTCATCACTTGCTTGGTCAGGCCAGAGTGCAGCCCTGTGTCATGTGTGGGCATCCAGTCTCTACCCAGCCCCCACCCAGATGGTGCTGAAAGGATGAAGTTTTTGTCACAATAACTTTCACCTGAGATTTCACTCTTACTTACAACTGCCTGTTGGTTTTAATGTGATATTAATGGTTAGAGTAATACTGGCTCACATCACACTGCTAGCTGCTACCAAACAATGAAAAGCTTTTACTTCTCATAGTTGAAACTGGGAAAATATGGATGGGAAGTTGGAAATACCCAGACAACTCCCACATCTCTGTGCTCACCTATTTCAAAAACAAAAGCATGGCTGCAGTGTTGCCTTATTTCAGTAAATAAAGATCAGGTCTTTACCAGCTATTACAGCTGATGTCACCAATCCTTTGGTGATCAGTGGTATCAAGTCTGGTACACTTGTACTACAGTGATTCCCTGGACATGGGTGCAAGTCACATAGGGCTTCACTTAGGAGCAAATCAGCTCCCTAAAGGTCAGAAAGACTACATTTGCAGTAGATTTTTTTTTCTCCTTAGCTTTGTGTTCAGTATTCCATTCTCCTGGTGCTGCTGGGGCAGTTTGTCTGTTATGAACACAAACCATTGGGAAGGTCCTTACAGACCCATCAATCTGCTCATGGATATCTATATATAGATCTCAGAGCCATTTGCTCTTCCTTTTGCTCCCCAGTGCCTCTTACCACCATATGAATGCTCAGTTGCAGCATCATTGTCATCCTCTAAAGGAGGAGGTGTTAAACACCTACCTACCTCTTCCTGAATTTCACTGCTGCATCTCAAGAGGCAAGTTGTGGATTCATGCTGGCTGATATCAGGTAATTCACATCTGCTTTTCCACAGCCCTGACAGTGTCTCACTCAGGTAGCTAAGGTGGTGGGAAGAGTAGTGACTGCTAGATCTGGGCTGGATGACAGCTGTGGTGCCTGCTGCACAGCCAGACAGGCCTCATGTCCCAGGCAGAGACATTCCCTGCAGCTCCGGAATGGATGGTTGCTTTCCACAAAGAGAGGATTTCAGATCACAGTGTCCCCAGTATTTCCCATGGTCTCACTCTACTCAGGTTACTGATCACCACTTTGTCACTTGAGATATTTGATTTTCCACATGCCTCACTGCAGCTCATTTCATGTTCCAGACCTAAACTCTAGAAACTGCAACTGGCACCAGCCCAGCCCTGCATCTGGCCTTCATTTCTCATCTGAAAAATACAGATACTCCATTCATCCCACAGAAGCCCAGACATCAAAAAAATGGGAAACATTATTTGCCTTCAGCAGATTGCCTCCTTATTGCCCTTGGATTATCATGGATGGAAATGGATTACATCAGTCTGCTTCCCTGGAGAGTCATGGAGCCTCTCTCACGTGTTTTGTTGGCCAAAGCCCATCTGCCAGCAGATAGTACCAAGCCAGCTCTCAGCAAGAACAGCTCTGTAAAGCTTGTTTACAAGAGTTCTAGTCTAAAAGTTTGACAAGAAGTACAAATTTTAGTTAAAAAATATTCAGATATTTGTCTGAAATTTGTTCTCAAGCTACAGCCAGCCAACCCATTTCAACCAACACAGTAAGCTACAAGGATTCAGGAGGAAAGAAGAGGTGGTGGGTTTTTTTAAACCATAAAAAGCCAAACATGAAAAATGTGTATTTCTTAGATAATACTCCACCATTCCAATGAAAAAAACAGGATTTGATTTGGAGGAAGTAAAAGGCAATGGCTTTCTTTCATAATAGCCTTTACTACCCCAAGCAAACAGGGATGAGAATAGAACGTGAAAAAAACCCACTGACCTAACGACAATTCCAGCACTCAGCAACTTGCTGAGCACTGAAACTGCACTGACAGACTGATGGGTCCCAGGGGTGGTTAAGAGAGTAAAGCCATCAGAAAGAACACAGGCTTTTGGAGAGTAGTAGAAGAATCTTCACAAAACGTGGGGGGAAAATATATATATATATATAAGTAGTAGCTATTATTAGCAGATGCATACAGACCGAAAGGGAATGCAAGGCACTGATCATCATACAATGAATGTTATTTTAGACAGTTTTAAGATATGATGAGAATATATCTAATATATATCCATTTTTATAAAGTTTTATACATACTATGGTTGTATTGAACCCTAATGGATGTCTATCCACACAGGAAATACTTTTGTTGTTAGCATCTATGTATCTCACCATCAAGAAGATGCACGTCACCAAATAAATGTGGGTACTTACTTCTTATTGGGCTATTCAGCAGCAGAACACTATCAGCACACCACCAGGATGCACTGGAAATGATGCAGTGCTCTGTGTTGGAAGAAAACCAGATCTAAACCAAAAGACTCCATAAGTTTTGATGGTAATTAGGTGCCTGTAAAATCTTCTGTCTCCCAGGGAGGGAGGGAAAGAAGTAATTATCAGCCATCCAAATTCCCTGCTACACAAAGAGGGCTCCCACGCTCCTGTCATCTGTGACAACAGCCAGTTCTCTGTAGGCAGCACCTGTCCTATCCCCCTGCCAAACAGCAGCTGAATAAGGCTGCTTTCACCGCTCTTCCTTATGCTGGCATGGGCCACACTCCTGCACAACACAAACTACCAGGCTCAAACCAAGGAGCTCATTCTCAACAATCTCTTGAGCACTTTGGAGAGAAAGGGCTGATGACTGACTATCAGTGCCAACACTCACATCTGCAATCTGTAGAGGTCAGCTTCTGGAATCACATCTGGCCAAAGCCCATCTGCCAGCAGAGAGCACCAAGCTAGATGTCGGCAAGTGCAGCACAGCAGCTTTGAGAGCAAGCTGGGCTTTGGGATTGCTGTCCTGCCCCATGACTCATGGATGGCTGATCCTGTCTCAAGAAACAGCAAAAGCAGAACATGGAGCTTCATTCTCTGCCCATAGATTTCAATAATCATGTTTCAGTCAGCTTCAACAAGGGCAGAATAGATTTTTCTTAGTCAGTTTTTTCCTCCTCTTAAAAATAGGTGACATCAATTTGACTTGTCAGTTTTAATTAGTATTTGCTTTATGTTCTGCTCCAAAGAAATTGTTCTGTTTTGACAAACAAGGGAGAAAAAATCTGGTACATAACTCAAACCTAGAATTTAGGATGTCAACATGAAAGGCAAAACTAATTAAGATGCTTCACAAGAGATCCCAGTGCTTCCTACAAATACCAGTAACATGATGTTTTAGACAGGCATTCTTTATATTTGTATATATAAATACATCCAAATAGTCGGGGATTCACAAAATTAAAACTGACATCAATTAGTGCTATCAATGGAACACAGACCAAGACTTGCAGCTAAGTTCAAGCCTAATGATACTGGATATTGATGCAAGAACACATCAAGAATCAATCCCTATTTCAAATAATAGAGTGCAGTGACTCAAGAAAAAGATGTGAAGAAAGTATTGTTAGCAGTAGCAGCTAATGAATAGAAAATTGACAAAAAAGTGCAGGTTCTCCAGAGTGCACTGTTGTAGTCAGTCAGTATTGCATAAAAATATAACCTCAGGGACAGCAGCATAATTTTTAAAAAAATATTTGACTTATTAGACATTTCAATTGACTCAGAAGCAGACTGACGGAACAAATATTTTCTTTTTTTTGAAGCACCTAACCTAACCAAACTTACGGGTGAAGTGTGCAGCCAGGGCACAGGCTGCACAGGCTCATATGCACTTTCCAATGATTGTGTTTAATGTTTATTGCCATTTCTGACACTGCAGAGTGTTAGAAGCATTAATGATGTAGAGCATTGAGGAGCATCACTGAAAAGTCAGTCAAAGCACACTGGGAGGTTCTTCTCCAGCCCTTTGAGGAGCCTTCAGCTCTTACAGCAGTAAGAGGCCCAAAAAGATAGGAGCCATTATCAGCACTAGAGCAATTCAAGTTTGAATTGTTTTTCCACTTGCCATAAATTGTTTAGATGTCACTGGTGCTTTTAAAACCAAGTGAAATGTGCACAGGACAGCTCTACACAACAGAAACAGCAGAAACATTTCCAGTTGTGTGTATCCCCCTTTGTTCCCTCACCTATTCCCAAAGGCAGGAAAAGATACTGCTCCAAGCAAGTCTTCCCACAGCACATGGAGGCAGAGCACAAGAGCTTCATTTCTCCTGTGTAGAAAATAACAGAAGGTGGACATGATATATTAGTAAGGGCCTGTCTGCACAAACCAGCCTCTGGAATAAGTCGTTATATTAAAGACTAAAGTCCTTTTAACTTTCCTGCAGGAGAGAGAATAAGGCAAAACAATATCCTTGTGTACAGGAGAAAAAATGTAAACCTGTGTGTGTTAGCCAGTAGTAACTTGCTTAGCCCATGCAGACCCTGTAAAGCCCTATAAAAGGTGCGCTAAAGATAGAAATAAACGGCTTTCACTTTTACTTCTGTGAAGACTCGTGAATAGCTGGCAGTCTCTCAATACTCCTGTTTTATAATTCTGGCATTATCTGACCTGGAAACAGAACCTGTCAGCATTAACCAAGGCAGGAGTAAGGATAGACATAGTAACTTTATTGAAATTCAGCAGCAAGACAACCACATTGAAGAAGGGGAAAAGCTAGATAAGATGAAGAACAGTGCAAAAACCATGCAAGCAACTATGGACTTGAAAGATTCAAGCACCACTTCTGAACTCAGCTGTAATTTACTCTTCCTTGCCAAACTCTTTATCATCCTAATGGCCCTGCCAAAACTAGAATAAATTCAACCATACATATCATTAAGGTATTTAGTAATCACTACAAGAGTGACATAATTCACTAAACCCAAAATACCCCAAAATGCTGTTTCTGTCCCTTTACATTTACTGAAGTGCCCTAATGAAATTCTATTTGGCTGCAAAGTGAAGATATGGATGGATTTACACATAGCATAGAAATAGTCCATTTAATTAGCAGGTGAGATGTTTAACAGCTAATACTGGTTTTGTTAAACACTGAGACATAACTCTCAGCTGAAAGCTCTGAATTCAACAGTTGTTCAGGATTCATTTTACTTCAAAGGCTCAAAGGTAAATTTCAGATATAACTGCACAACTAAAAGTCTGAGTTATGAAGAAATCAAGAGACTGACATTCAGAACCGAGAAGACCTACAGAAATTGCTCCAAAGTGGCCATCCCACATCCATCTCAGGCTGTAATAAGTACTCTCTGCTGCAGCCCCAGGGGACAGTGAAGTTAGAGAGGTGCAATTTGTTCCTTACACAAAAGCCCAATTACCATACTCCACAAAGCATGAAGATGGAGAGATTGTGCAATTGCCATCCCAGCTATGCTGTTCCAGCCCAGCTCCGTGTCCCTTTGAAGGGGTCACTTATATGTATGAGCAATTCCTTGAAAAATACCCACAAACAGACTCTAAGGCAAGCAACCAGCATCCTCAAGATGCTGCCTCTTGGGGTGGGAGCAGTAAAGACTATGCATTGTTTTCCAAAATTTCAGCATCAGAAAACAAAGTGAGGGAAAGGTCTGGCATCTGAAATGACACATTCTGTCAGCTCAAGGGCCCACTGTTAAAAACCAAGTCTTTATTTCCCATCTACAAACTTCACTTTTTAAATGTGCTGAGTGGAGAAACCCTTCAGTGTCTGTATTACCAACCTCCTAATTCTTTTTGTGTGCAGTCCTATGAACATGGCAAAAACAGAGGCTTCCATTTCCTGTTGAAAAAGCAAAGCTTTTCTGTTTGAAAAGCAAACCATTTCCTATTGAAAAAGGAAAAGCTTGTGCATGGCAACTAAAGCAAAGCTCATTCTACATTTTTCATTCACTGATACACAAAGTGCAAACCCCTGCATTCCTTGATGGGAATACAGTCTCCTGTAAGAGAGACTCTCAGAGTCTCCTGTAAGTGCCCCTTATAGAACTTTCCAGCATCTAAAGGAGCTGGAAGAGAGCTGGAGATGGATTTTACAAGGACACAGAATGACAGGACAAGGAATAATGGCTTCAAACTGATAGAGGACAGGTTTAGATTAGATATAAGGAAGAAAATCTTCCCTTTGAGGGTCATGAGGACCTGGCACAGGTTATCCAGAGAGGTTGTGGTTGCCCTGTCCTTGGAAGTGTTCAAGGACAGGTTGAATGGGGCTTTGAGTAACCTGGTACAGTGGAAGGTGTCCCTGCCCATGGCAGGGGAATTAAGATTAAATGAGCTTTATAGTCCCTATCCAACCCAAATAATTCCATGGCATTGCCTCAGTAAAGATAAAAATACCAGCCTTCTTCCACATGCACAAAACCCCACATTTTTCATTGTTGCTTGTAAGTTATTGATTTTCAATTGTTCAGGTCTATGTAAGACTTCACCTCTAACTGCCCTGCATGTGCTTGTATGTTACAGAGTAGCTTCAGGCAGCAAAATAAAAAAGATAAAAAGGAAAAAAGAAAAAAGATAAACACATAACTTTGACAAGTTTTCCCAAGGGCAGAAAAACATGTGCAGCACCTGCTGCATTTTCCATCTGCTCTGAAGTACCCAGGAGGAAGAAACCC